ATTATTTAAGCCATTAGAATCATCGAATGGTTGTAACAGAAAAGAATACTGTAATATCTTCCATTTTTAAGTTTCTTAGAATTAGTCAACCTGTTTTATTTCAAATAATTGGAAGAGGAGATTAGTCTTAACCCTTGGGAAAAAAACAGATATATTGTTGAGTTGAGAACTTTTTCAACAACTTATTTCACTAAATTTATGGTAACAAAATTTTACTCACTCCATGGTAATTTAAAACTTGTAGTATGGTGGTCGTACACTTACATTGGCTAACTGAAGCAGGGCATGGGAAGTTCCTTTTTAAGCATGAATGAATCTTATTTCTGTAACAAAGAGAAATTTGAGGTTATATACTAGGACTACTACCAAAGTCCAAAGTTTACAGAAAAACCCTCAGAAAGGAAAAGGTTAAAAGACTGCATTTCCAAGCACAACAGCTTACTGTGTATCTACAGATGAAGAGTAGCTTTCAGCAAGGTTTCTGGAAAAATAACAAAATTAATGTTGCAGTTATAACTGATAACTAATATTCGATGAGGAACAACTTTAACCTAAAGCTTAAATTAAATTTACATGCTCCCTCGTTGACATTCAGTTGGACTTGAGCTATCCCAGGAGAAATTATTGTTAGAGACATCACTGTGTACCAAAATATATAAATAAATAAAAGATGTTAATCTCATTTGCAACAGGAATGTTTATTTCTTTTCAGTTGAGTGTGACTGAAAATTGAAACATAACAAGTCAAGAACTTAACGTACATATTTTTGTTATTTCCAAGGACCCAGGCAGGTATAGTCCCGGATAACTTGTTCCCAGTAAGATACCTGCATTATTTAACACATATTTTGTTTGTCAGAATTAAAAGTGAGATGTACCAATAACAAATTTCATTCAATCCATCCACTTACATGAAGTCTACTTTGTCAAGTTCGGCAAAAGATTCAGGTATCTCTCCACTCAAGTTATTGTAACTCAAATCTCTACATCAACCAAGATAAATAAATGAAATTGTTTTATGTAATAAAAGGCATGACATGTTTTTTGTATAAAAAACATGTTTTCAAAGATCAAGGCCCGTGAGATGCTCCTTGGTGGAAATGAAACTGAACAAGTTAAAATGAACCTTTTTTTTCAGAAGAAGAAAAGAGAGGTACTAAATTAAAGAGAAGGTCACAATCTCTCATCACTCCTATCACAGTCATTTTTCTGTCTCCTTGTCTTGACTTTTTAGTTTACTGTTTTCTTGCATTACAGGCTTTTCTCTCTCTCTTGCATTACAGGCTTTTCTTGCATTACAGGCTTTTCTCTCTCTCTGAAGAAGGACTATAAACAAAATATAAGCACAATTGACCCACAAAAACTTGTACATATACAAAACTATATTTCAAATATTGTAGTGAACACAGTGTCAATATTACATGCAAAGATGACCAAGACAACATTAAATCGTTTCAGAGATATTCTCAAATGGAACAAGATCCTTGAAGTAATATATCATGGAGTCAAAACTACTGTAAGTTACCAGTTGAATAACTTACAAGATTTTCAGTTTTTCCATTCTCCCAATATATTTTGGGATTTTTCCTTTAATCCTGCAATTTCTTAATACCCTGCATTCCGGTGTCCAAGTAAACTTTAGTTCATTTTGCAAAAACTTCAGAGAGAAAGAAGCATTTAAGTGATTGAACTTACAATGTCTTCATGGATTTCAAGTTATTTAGTGGTGGGAAAGCTGAGGTTTTATCCCCTTTTAGGTCAGTTATCCTCCTAAGTACCAAAGAATTAACAATACAATCACTTGACATATTGACCTTCTATCATCAAAACATAAATCAAATAAAGAATTGCATGCATACAAATCACTTAGTCTTGTCAAGGCAGAAATGCTAGAAGGTATTGGCCCCTCAAGAGAACAACCGTGCATATGCCTGTAATACCGAAAGAAAAATGTTGGCATGATAAATTTTAGTATATACAAATAAACACAACAAGAAAGATATAAGGTTGGAGACTTACAGCTTTTCTATCACTGTCCAGTTACTAATGAAATCAGGTATCTTCCCAAAGAAATTATTGTCGCTTAACCTCCTAAAATTTGTTTGCAAAAGGTTAATAATTATGCAAAGAAATGTCAAAGTTCAATTGTAACTACAATAAAAGAACATAATAAAGCTACACATTCTTGAGCTTTTGTAGCTCCTTATAGGAATTATTTCAGAACCCTGTAGTGACTTGCCTTTACCACCCCCCATATTAAAAGCATCAAAGTGGTTCATCTTTGTGCATCTTTTACTCAGAGATTGTAACCACATGCCGGATGTTAAAAGTTTATTTATACAATTATTCATTTCTTGCAGATAGTAGATAACTAGGACTGATAACAACTTACAAATCAATCAACTTGGTCAACTTGGAAAGTGAGGGTGGCAATGCTCCTGTGAATCCATTGGATGATAGAACGCTAAACAAACATGTTAAGTAACTCGTGTAAAGACACTAAAGAGTAATATGTTTGGGGGAAATAGAAACAGGTATTGAGATTTAAAATTTCCAATAAGCACACCAAGAAGTTCATAAGAATTACAGTTTTTCTAAATCGACCAACTTCTCAATCTCCGTTGGAATGTGACCCCAAAATAGGTTTCCTTCAATACTCCTGTAACATTCATACAACTATTTAAATTATGCAAAACTGCAGAAAAAAAATTGGAAATTACACTAAACCAGCAATCCTGAATCACCTATACCAAACTGTCTTTACCAAAAAACAAATATGTCGGCAAGAGGTAAAAACTACCTTAGATGTGCCAAAAAAAAATCTCATTTTCTTTAAAAATCATCACTAAGCTGAGTGACCGAGCCAACAAAATTCATTTGAAAATAAAGAAATGATTTCAACATACAAGTTTCTGAGGGTTGTGATATTGGTGAGAACTTTGGGGAATGGCCCTGATAATTTGTTTCCCATGAGAGAGCTGCATATTCAATTAACAACAAGAACCTTTAGTGTGGCTACTTAAAAAGAAGAAATTGAAGAGACAATGCAGAGAAATCAAAGTGTGCCTAGCAGAAAGCTCTTACATCTCAACCAAGCCCATGGTACTCCACTGTTGAGGTATAGAACCAGTGATGATGTTACGACTGAGGTCTCTATTTAAAAGTGCAAGACAAAGTTAGTGAACTTCACCATTCCTTAAGGATACATAAATGGATGATATTGGAACATCATGCAGAGAAAAGAGTCATGGCTTCAAAACTGAGGTTTGGTTATCTTACAATATTGTGAGATACTGAAGCTTGGAAAACATTGGTGAGAGAGTACCAGACAGATTCTGACCCTTCAAGAATCTGTTTATTTAGAACATGAAATTAAAAGCAGAAACTTAGAATTTATACGGTGGTATTAACATGACCATTGTAAGAAATCCAAACAATAAATAATTACAGTACATGAAAGTATAAAGGCATCTTGTGAATCCTTAATGATATACTCTATTTTTTTGTCTGCTGTGTATTAAACAAAAACTATAAACTCAATTACCTGTTTTGTTGAAAACCAAACGCGTTTTTCTACTTTTTCTTATTTCTTGAACTTGTTAACTTTCCCCTAAAAACATATTCTGTTAAGTACCAAAAGTAAAGTATATTTCTTGTCTTTGAACAGTTTTGTGACACTAGTAATGATTAGTACCGCTACAGTAAAGCTTTACCCGTTCTCTGAATATTTTAAAGAATCATCAAAATACTTTTTTACCAGACACAGTTTCTTGTAACAAATAAACAAACAGATTGAAGCAAAAACATGAACGTATATATAGCCTCAAAGATGAAAATTTAGAATTTACAGTATAGTGACAAGAAAAAATAATAAAAATTTGTTGCTACCCACACAAAAAAAGACAATAATAATAAAGACAGAGACAGCACATCCTTTTCTTTTTGTTTTCAAAGTCAAAGATTTGCAACTTGCATCGTTGTGCTGTCGAGACCCTAGTTTTTTCAAACATGAGTTTTTGTGTATTAATGAGTTGGTTAGTCGAACATGAAAAAAAAGATTAAATTATACATGGTAGCATATAGAATTTTTGTCATTTACTTATTTTTAAAAAAACTTTCTCAATTATTTTAAAAGTAATGTCCAATCCAAGAACCATTTTGCTCTTCTCATGAAGACGAACGCGTTATTTTGACGAACCACAACCACGAATGTGCATGACTAAGATTCACCATAGTTTAGCAAAAGCAGAATATGCATACGAAACATTGGAACTATTCATGATAAAGAGAAAAGTATAGTAGGAAAACACCCATTACCCTGTTCTTCTCTTCTTTAATTTAAATAGGTTCTCGAATCCAGCAAAGAAAACAGCATTTTTTCACAAATGAACAACTTTTTTCTTTAAAAGATAATCAGTAACTACACGTGAAGGTTTGGTGGTAACTTTAGGAGCTGTCTGTAGTAAGAACAAACATATTTGAAGCAATATGAGAAGTAGAAGAAAGTTATGTTCATCGTCCCCCGAGTGTACACGTGATTCCATGTGATTATCTTCCATAATTTAAGCTCTTGAAAACACAAAGAATCTATTGGGACTGGAACAAAAATTGATTGAAACAATAGAGAGAGAGAGAGAGAGAGAGAGAGATTTACATGCTTACAACATGGCAAGAAGTGTTGTTATTGAAGGAACAATCACACATCACAGTGCTCTGAAAGCCTTTCCTATCATCAGAAACATTCCAACTCCCTTTTCCACTGCAAGGATCCACTCCAAAGTCCCAATCTTTCTTCCCAATCTTGCTCCCTATCTCCTTCAGTGCCTTCACTGCACACAATTCAAACAATCAACTTCACCAATCAGAAAAAAAAAAAA